GGGGGGGGGGGGGGGGGGGGGGGGGGGGGGGGGGGGGGGGGGGGGGGGGGGGGGTACTCATGTGCTGCCTGCCTTTGGCGTTTGACGCAGGGCGCCACCGTTCTTGACTTGCTCATGTCAGCACATAAAAATGTTGTTATGTGTGATGTACCTCGCCATGAGTCGTTTTGTGCCCCCTTTTGTTTTTTTTATTGGTGGTGACCACGTATGGTCGACGAAATGTAAAGGTATGCACGCGTGGTACAATCTGGTAGACCCGTCAAGAACTCATCATCTGTTATTACTCTTGTGGAACAGCAGCAGCGGAGATGTTGCCTTGGGTATCGGTAGGAATGACACCGAGGGGGGGCAGGATTCTCTGCTCAAGCAGGGGTTACAAGAATCCTGTTCTGTCCTTCCGCAGGGAGTTACGAGTTCTAGAAGGAATCATTCTCTACAATGTTCAGTCTACACATCTAAATCCTAAAACACTAGCCCACCCTGTAGGTTCTCATACGCAGATACAGATACTATAAAACCTCGGAGCTTGGGGGTGCAGGATTCTCTACACTCAAGCAGGGGCTACAAGAACCCTTTCCCCTGTTTTATCCTTCCGCGGGGAGTTACATCTCTCCCCCTTCTAGAAGGAATGATTCTCGTCCATGTTCCGTCTACACATCTCAATCCTCTAACAGAAAAGAAGGAATTAACGGGCGATTTGGTGCATGCATAACGGGGTCTGAACGCACAACATGAGTTCTGAATAACCATGGCGCACATGCAAGGATGCGGTAGGTGCGGGTTGAATATGCGCATGGTAAGAAAAAATGTGCATTGTGACACCGTGGAATCTGTGCTGCTCGGACCGTAAGCGGGCGGCGGCGGCGGCGGCGGCGGCGGCGGCGGCGGCGGGGAGAGTAGGTCTTACCGCGCTAGGTCAATTTCCTTGCCAAAAACGTGTGCAACATAAATGCTCCGAAAAAATACATGGTCTTGCTGTAGTGTAACCGTATGAACACCCAGATAAGTAGCAGTGACGCTACTTGCTGTTCAAAGTGTTGCCATTGTCCACAGCACAGAGGTAGCGCGCGCGTGAGGGTGGTGAACTGTGGACAACCATAAAACCAACGCGGGAAGGGCGCAGAGCAGAGGATACCAGTTCACGGGGGAAGATCTCTAGCTAGTCGAACGCCTCCGCTCGGACGCCAGCGGATTCGAATGAACGCTGGTTGCCTCCTTTGACTCAGTCACACAACTCGCACCCACAATAGTCCTAGCAATCTACGCAGCAAATTGATGAAGCAAACATATGGGATAAAGTATTCAATCCGTGCATTGGGGTTAGGGTTAGGGTTAGGGGTAGGGTCTGCGTGCCCCCTCCCTAATATTTTCCAGATACTCTTCAAATCCTAAATACACCATGGATGCCGTGCATAGAGTATCATGAAATGCATAACACGCACTGCACTGCTGTACAGCAGCTGTACTCGGTTCGGATAGCGGCGGGGAGTGTTAGAAAACATAGCACACATACGTACACCCAAAGGAGACTAGCCGTTTGAGATATTTACCACAGCCGTCGAAAGGGTGAGTGGAGTCATAGATAGTCTTTATACAAAAGTGAACGGAAGATTCAAAACCGGCCAGGAGTCTATGCAAGGTAGATAGATTTGTGTCGCTGGATATTTGCCTGGATATCAGGAGTTCTCAAAATGACGCTAGGAGCACACCACGAGGTGCATATGTCGTGACATTAACAGTTTACTCTCGGCCAAATTCGGCTTGGGGTCCTGACACACATCGAACATCAACTGCTTCGACGACCTCATGTAATGGTACGGCCATTCATATTCATGTGAATGTGGCGCTCCCCTGATCATCTGCCATCTGAACCGTAGAAATGCGGCGAAACTAATTACTCAAACGTTTTGTGACCTTCGATCGGAATACGCAACGGTGAGCACCACGGAGACCGAGGGCGAGACAACACGCAGCACCTCCGCGCCAGTGAAGCCTACAGGGGACCGATATCTCGGGCGGACATTTACGGTGTTATCTCCGCTGCCGGCGAGCTCGACCAACAAACATAAACTCGACCGGGCACGCTCAGCTCTCCCCGCAGTCGGAATCACACCTATTCTTGTGGCCCATACCTCTACGGTGTTGTAGAAGCCCTTTAGACCCGCCGTGAACACTCCGCGGAGGGCCCGATAGGTGTAGGTTACGGGACTGCCACGCCTCCGTTCTGCAGCCATCGCGAAGTCCTGCGGAAATCGAAAGCCGCCACGAACCGCTGTTGGTGAGTGTGTGTACAGGCACCATCAGCAGATGCAGCTTCTGTGGGGTCAGCACAGCGAAACTTCAATTTTTCATTATTTTCTCAACGATCAAGGTTGTGTAGCTGACACGCACACCAGCCGGATTGTGATGCTAGCATACAACGCCTGGGAAAGAAGAAGCACACTCACCGCGCACCGATGCGAGGGACGACGCCTGAGAACGTATTCGTAGGCCCTGCTGTTACGAGGAAGAGTGCGGCCTGGCGGCGGGCTGCAACAGTGATGCAGGATGTCTCGCGGGGGGCACGCAAGAGAGAACCTTTACCCCTCCGGTGCTGGCCCCTCTGCCCGTGTGCTGCAGTCGCGGCTGGCTTGCTGGCGTTGGCACTGCCGCAAAGAGAGAGCGTGACAGTGGGACAAGGCCTGTGCACGCGTCCGTTATGGCTACCAGCAGCAAGTCGCACCAACGGACGGGGGAGCAAGCATGGGGGAAGATAAACAAAGTGGTGGGTATCGACAATGGAACGACAACCATGTCTCTGCAAGTCAATGAAGCAACATCGTGTGTACAACGCGGTGTTTTGAAGATACTGCTGTACTGCAGTTGCTGGCACCGCCGCGTACAGCAAGTAGGCCGCATAACAAGTATCCAATGCTACAGGTTCAAGTCTCCTACGTCATGTCCTGGTTTTCTTAGCCAGGCTGCCCTAGTCATTAGGGGTAAACGGCCTTGTGTATTTCTGCAGGTACGAATGTACCGATTTGTTCCGCTGTGCAGCAGTACCAGTACTGCTGTAGAAGTATAAATAATAGCGCCGCCGGTGCCATCTTCGCGATAGGGTGCATGCAAACTGGTCCCTCCGGTTCCAGCCTTCACAGCATCAAGCGCACAGGGGAGACGATATCTCTTTCTAGCAAGTATGAAACCATGAAAGAACTAGAGGTTACTACGCCGCTCATCTGGAACGTGCTCAATAAGGACTTGTTCTTGGCAGCAACCCCTGTTTTTCAATTGATCTCTCAATCCAAGATAAAAAAACGGAAAACAACCTCCGAGCTCGCGAGTCCCGCCTCCTCGGCAACTGCAGTACAGCAGTGGACCATGTGTACAACAAAATATAGGGCATCGTGGAGGAGAGCCATTTGCGTGGCGCACGCCCAGATCTGTCGCTGGAGCCGTGCCATCAAACGCTGCAGTCCGAAGACTCCGCAAGTCTGGTCCATTCACGTACAGTCAGTGCACGATCCATGCTTTACGCGCCGCCACAGACCCAATCCCTCCCAACTGCAGCCCTCGTGCGGGGAGCTACAGCAGTAGCTACCTTAGATTGCACAAGATACGACACCCCCTGGACCGAATTTCAGGCCTCTACTGTTCCACGACGAAGAGGATGCAGGGATCAAATATCGCATGTTAAGGAAAGGCCTTGACGAGGCGGCAGTTCCAACGCCTCCCGCCATTTTCGGCACAGTCACTGCTGTCGTCGCTTGCAGCGTAGTCGAGCTCTGAAAATCGCCCCAGGGGGGGGGGGGGGGG